AATGAGGTAGATCCCCAGACCGCCCTGGGTGTGTGTGGGGGACGCACCTTATTGGCCTTGACTCTGAAGTGCAGCCAAGTGTGGCTGGGAAATGACACACCTATGCTCCTACCTGGGCAATGCCTCCCACACTGAGCAATCACCATAACCCCTGCCTGCTTCCAGGAACCTCAGGCTGGCGCTGGGAACTGCTGCTCCCCATCAAAGCTGGAGTCAGCACCACCCAACCCAAAGCAGCTCTCCAGGGTGAGGTGCCCAGCGGGAACTCCTGGTTCCAAGTGAAAGAAGGAAGTGCCAGGCACTTTCCTCACATGGGCTCATTTCATCCCATTGGTCCCAACTGCACAAGGGAAGAAACTGAGGCACAGAGAGATTTAGGTAATTTGCTTGGACTCCATCAGGGTTAAATCTCAGATTGGGGCTGGGCACGGTGGCTCACACCTATAATTCTAGCACTCTAGGAGGCCGAGGTGGGTGGATTGTCTGAGCTCACCTGTTGGAGACCAGCCTGACCCAGAGCAAGACCCTGTCTTTAAAACTAGCTGGGCATTGTGGCAGGCGCCTATAGACCCAGCTACTTAGGAGGCTGAGGCAAGAGGATTGCTTGAGCCCAAGAGTTTGAAGTTGCTATGAGCTGTGATGCCACAACTCTTTACTGAGGGTAACAAAATAAGACTGTCTCCCCACCCCACCCCAAAAAAGAAACAACTCAGATTGGCTATGTGAGGGTCAACTCCCAAATCAGCACTCTTATCTGTAAAACAAAGGAAGCAGCACCTACCTCATAGGGTGCTGTGATGGGTATAAGGGCACTACCCACAACCATGAAGCCCAGACTGCTCAGTGAATGATCATTGTAGTAGTAACCCTACTGGCTCCCAAATCCCGCTTTCCATTACAGCCTGCTTCTCAGAGGAAATGTTTCTATGACATGGTTTCTAGTTCTCTCCCATGTATTGATGTGTTTCCTTTTTGCAGCAGCCCTATGAAGCTGGAACTTTTGTCTGTCAGCCCTCTTTGATGAAAACCCTGGAGTCTAGAGAGGTCAAGTCACACACTTGTGTGTGGCAGAGCCAGGTCAGGACCCCAGATGTCCTGACTCCCTGCCCAGGACCTTCACCACACAGCAGCAGCCATAGAAGACTGAAGCCTAACCAGCCTCAGGGAGAGGTTACGCCCTGGGTTCCTTGGGCAGAAGGGAGGTGGGGAAACCCAGGGTGGGAGGAGATGCCGATAGGAGGGTGGAGCTGCGTCCTTGATGTGGCGCTGGGCTCAGTTCGGGGCTGTCGCCACAGTCCTAGGGTTTGGCTGGGACAGCAACCACCATTTCCGCCGGTGTGGCAATGCTGGCTGGATCTGGGTCCACCAGCTTTGCCAGAGAACCTAAGCCAGGCGGGTTGGGAGAGGGAGGATGCTCTGTCCAGCCCTCTGCTTCATTTCCATCAACCAGCCCAGCTTCTGGGCACAGGGAGCCAGGACCACAACACCTTCAGCCCAGTAGGTAACTGACAGAAAAACCAGGCCCAAGTCCTCCTCCAGAGAGAAAATAAAACCTATGATTAATTAAGAGGCTACTGGGGGCTGGGCCTTCTCTTCTATGCTTTGAATGAATTAGCTAATTTTATTTTCATAATAGTTCAATGAGTGAGGTCTTAGTATCTTCACTTTAGACGTAAGAGAGCTAAAGCCCAAGGTCTATAGTCCAAGGTGGTAAAGCTGGGATTGTGCCAAAAAGCTTGTGCTCTGTCCAGGATACTGTGGCTTTACAAGAAGTCACAGCCACCAGCAGCCAAGCAGCTCTGCCAACACCACTGCCACCTCTGCACGCCTCCCCCCATCCCCAGGTAGAACAGGGTCCACCTTCTCCGTGCCAGGCAGCTATAAAGGCCTCTGCCCCATTTCTACCACTTGGTTCAGTTCCAGGTGGGCTGAGTCCCTTTCTGAGCTGGTAGAGATGTGTGGATGGATTAGAAAAAAATAAAGTGATAAAGAGAAGCACAAGGAATGTGCTGAGAGGGAAAGGCTGTTTTGACTAGAAAAATAAGATACCACAGAGAAGATGGAAAAATAAGAGAGTGGGTCTCCTTTCCCATAGTTGGGAACAATGTCTTGCCTTTGAGGTGGAGGTGGGGTAAGGGCTGTTTTCTCTACAGAGGCCCCTCCATAGGAGCAGTCAGCTTCCTCCCAGTGGAGTACATAACAGAAGTCGTCTCTGGAAGATGGTAAGATTAGGGGCCAGGAGCCACTGAGGATGACTTAATGAGTTGGGATTGGCAGGCACCTCTTGTCACGAATAGGGATTGGCTGTAACCAGAAGATTGGGTAACAGGGAGGCTTTGGGAGTGGGGCAAGGCCAGATTCCTCATGGACAGGCAAGTAACCTGCTCTGTATAAGTATGAACTTGAGCTTGGGGGAGAGAGGGTCTGTCCACTGCTCCGGGCAGCTACCTTCAGTAGGACTAGAGGAAAGCAGGGCCCAGTGTAAAATGAAAAGCTGCTCAAAAACTTAAGAATTTACAGAAGATGATAGCAGAGCATTAAACCAACATTGAGGATCCTGGTAAGCATGGGTCACACACCCATGAAGCCAGCCCTGAAGTGTGGTCTAGGGAAAGCAAGCACAGAGTAAGGCTATAGGAAGGGCAGCCACAGGAGTTGCCTTCTGGCCTGGTGGCCTCCTGACCCAAACCAAGAGAGCCCACAAATTTACAGGTGCATAACTAAGGCTCAGCCTAGGGAACGCTCGCTCAGACTTTCCTAGAGTGTCAGCAGGCGCCACCCAGGCGTTCGCAGCTTTCACAAGTACCCAGTCCCCCCCCCCACCCCCCACCCCAGCCAACCAGCATCCTCCAAGAGTCCAGGTCTTGCCTTATTTGGAGGAGAGAGGGCATTTAAATCTCATGTCTCTGCGTCGGGGGAGCTCTAACTGCTGAGGAAAGATGTCATCCTTGGAGACCATCTGGGGAAAAGGCCTCTGGAGCTGTTCCTTTATTTTACAGAACTGACAACCGAGGGTAGGGGCCTTTGGCAAGTACAAAGGGTGATGCCCCAGAAAAGAATCAAAGTATTAATAATGGGCTTGGCTTGCACTGTCCTCTAGTCCCTCGCCCCAGGGTTCATGTGGCTGGGAAGCCTGATGTCTATTTCAACAGTGGGATCAAAACCAGCTTTCAGAGCAACATAAGCCAGGGGTAATTTTTAGCACAGACGTAACTTTCTAGTTCCTTTTTCCTACCCCTCATTTTTCAGTTGCCTTTAAAGAGGCCGCAGAGAACTGAAAAAACAAATCCAAGTTTAAAGAGACAAGTGCAAAAATACACACTGGGCAAGGGGACAGAGCCGCCAGCTGGACAAAATGTGCCTGGAAAACAGCATCCTCTGCTTGGCAGGTGCCAGGGATTTATGGTGGAGTTTTGCAGACGTTTCATCACGTTATGAACCAGCTTAGGAGACCCTCATAAAACTCTGCTTATATGAAAGAACAAACTAACTGATAAAAGTCAGCTGCTGCCTATAAACGCGCTGTGGGGATTGCAATCGAGTAGTGGATTTATTAGTCTGGGCTCTCTGCTCTCCACGTTTGAATCGGAAGAGCCCGAGCACAGAGGGTTGCTCCCGCTCACGTGATGGCCAACAGGCCATGCTGACCTCCACCCCATTACTTACTCTGCCAGAGACCAGAGGGAAGGCTCACTGAGATAAGTCACAGAGGAGCTAGTCTCACCTCCCACAAAAAGAATCAGTTACTATTCCCCCCTCCATGGCATCCCCTGCACATCCTTTGCGACGGCACTTTTCACCAGGGGCTTGCCCATCTGCCCAGCCCACCAAACCGTGTGCTTTTTAAATTTACCATTGCATTGCCCGTGAGTACTCCTGTGCAGGGCATGCAAGGAGGCCTCTGAATGAATGGATGGGGACATGGCAGACTAAGGCCCAATGGGCATTAAGTTATCACTACCCCACCCCGAATTGCATGAGGGGTTAGGGGAAGCAGTGCTGAGTGCCCGCTGGAACTGAGGACTAGCTAGTGCTGGGAAGAGGTGCAATGAAGTTAAAAAGGTCAATTTCTTCCTCAGAGAAGGGCAGTCTTTGCAGTTGCTGGTCTCAAACTCTTGGGCTCAAGCAATCCACCTGTTAAGGCTGTTTCTTAAGGAAAGACCATGCAATAGAGTGAGGTATACTTATTAAGAATGCAGATACGCCATAGTCTCAGCCACTTTGGAGGCTGAGGCAAGAGAATTGCTTAAGCCCAAGAGTTTGAGGTTGCTGTGAGCTGTGATGCCACAGCACTCTACTGAGGGTGACATAGTGAGACT